CTGGTGGAAGCTGGACTGAGCAAGAGTTAGGTTGCTATAACAATTTGCTGGTGTTTTACAGTTTTTTATGAATATCTCCAAAACTAGAAAGACGTTATACTGATCCTGTGTGATGTGTCTAGAAAGATTGTAGAGTGTAGACATCGAACTGCATACTCGGCACTCGCCAAAAATGGCGAGCTGGAAACCAGTGCAGTTACAGGTTCTAAGGGTCTGCCCACACTTATACGCCTCTATTCCCCGAATGTCTGCCCACACTACGCCATGTTTTGACGGGCCACATGGCGTAGGTCAAAACAACCGGATTCACACAACGAGGAGCTATTTTTGAGCTTTCGTTCAGAAAATAATTCGGGGCCTTCAAAGGGGGTAACAAGAAGGCGTTACAAGCGTCTCTTCAACCCGCAGAACAGGTACTAACTCATACTATTAAAGTAAAAAAAGAAGTATCACCTCCCCGCCAGTATCCACATCTATTATTAATAGATTCTATTTATTAGTTAATCAATTATTTAACAAATATTCAAAAATTATTTTCAACTATTTGGTCAACTAAAAATAAAATCCTCAAGTTAACATCACAACAAAAAGCAGTTTAGACAATAGACCCCCACCTAACAAGCACTCCGTGACCTTTTTTCAGGTTTAGGAGTGTTGATCAGGTAACGGTCCAAATCACTTATCGACGTGGGTGGAAGAGTTTTGGTACCTCTGTAACCCCTGATAGAAATTATACAGGTTCTGAGTAAATCTCAACAATCTCTAAACAAAAATGTAAATTGCCGATGTCAAAGCGGCTGGCTATGGATATACTCCAAAAACTAAATATCCAATTAATAAATATAATGATAGTTAACAAAGCGAAATCAAAAATTAAAGTACTTTAATTGACATTGAAAGCTATATACATAGTATAGCACACGGTAAAAACTTATGGATATATATTATATCATTAAACATTATAATTATGCATCGTTCACTCTAAATCTATAATATCTTGTCCTTATATTACAACAAATTTAACCACTTCTGATATAAGAGTGTTTTTCTGAATTTTTGTGGTAATCTGTGTAACCCCCAAGACCATGAACTGTTGATGGAAAGTTCGCTTCTCGCGTGATTGGTCTGGAGAAATAAAAACAGTTTCATTACGTGGAAACCCTAAACAGTCTCAGTTCTTTCACTAATCTCTATGATGGATGGTTTTATTTAGTACGGGTATCGGCCTTACAAAATGACAGGCCTCACAAAATGACAGCCCACATAGACCATGCTGTAGCTTAGGTTCCCTATACATTGAACCCTATTCCTTTTACTGTATGAAAGAAAAAGCATTAATTAACACTTCCCAAGGAATGATAATGACATAGAATCTATATTTCTTACATAAATATGGACGTTTTTGCTGTTCAGTCATTGCCCCGCCTAACTGTTACCCAGAATGGAGACCAAAGTTTAGAATTTAACCCCAGAAAACCAGGTACTACCATGACTTATGTCAATCAAAGACTACTCTGGTCAAATAAAAAAACTGGTTTAGTGACTTTGGTAGAAGAAATGACAAAAAAAAATGACCTAGCCTCACAAAATGACAGTGTTATGCCTCACAAAATGACAGTTTTATTTTATGATACAAAGATGGCATATTCAATATTTATATTGGATGTTAACGGGTGATACTCGTAAAATATCTGTTCCATATATTGGACCGTCGACGAGTCCAACTCGGCGCGCGTCCTGGTAGGTTGTAAACCTACAATATTGGATGCCCCTTGCCTAATTATTGGTATTCTTAAACCCAGTAAGCTTATGATGAGCCTAAATGTGTTTGTTTGATCATCAATTTTGATCAAAATGCCTCACAAAATGACAGCGAAAAGCCTTACAAAATGACAATGTTTTAGATTGAATTACTTTCATCATCTAAAATGGGCACTATCCGTCGCGGAGTAGAGTCCGCGGCGGAGCCGCCGGACTCCGAGCGGAGTCCGGCGGTGCTCCGCCAAAATGTATTTACACTGGACTCGAGTACATTTTGGCGGACTCCGAGCGGAGCCGAGCGGACTCCGAGCGGACTTTAAAGTCCGCCGCGGACTCCGAGCGGCTCCGCGGCGGCTCGGCGGAGTGTCCGCCGCGGACTAAGCCACTAGGCGGACTCCGGTCCGCCGCGGACTCCGGCGGAGTGCTTGGCGGACTCCGGCGGACCTCTCTGCCGGATTTGAATCCGGCGGAGTCCGGCGGAGCTTGGACTCCGCTCGGAGTCCGCCGGACTCCAACAGAGTCTACTGACTTCCGACTTCCGACTTCCGACCCTCGGCTAAATTTATCACGTGACATACAACATAGCATTTTGCGATATTGTGGTCAGATGAAAAGGTCGCTAGTGATTAACCATTACCCTCACAATGTCAATAGAGTACAACTCTAGTCCTAACTTTGACCCTATAATGTATAAACGTTGACCCTAACCCTCCACCAAACCGCCAGCAGCGAAATTCAAATATCAATGTCATTGACTGGTCACGTGACCAAAACAATTTTTGTCATATTATCTCGATCTCATATAGGGAAGCGTTTTTAGTTTTACCCTACACGTTTGACGTTGCATGTGGCGTCATTCGGCCGGATCCCAGTAAGCAAAAATACGTCGACCATCACAGGACGACGCCAGCACTCTCTACGCTCGTCGAGCTCCGATCGTCATGTGACGAAGTAAGGACGAAGCCTGAGGTCCTCAGGTAACATCGACCACCGATTGAAAATTCAGAGATTTTTTGACATAAAGGTCAAATGTAAAACTAAAATCTTGATGTTAATTGATTGACGACGTCAATTTTTGAGCACAGCCAACAGCGCGAGCGCATGCGGAAAAGGACCGCGTAGCTACTGCTAGTCAAGATGTTGATAAATATTTGACTTGTGGCGCGATGTGTTGCTCTAACTATAGCCCTCTCGCTTGCAGTAGCGCGCGACCGCCGGAGGCGGAAATGACCTGGTTAGCTAGGTAAACGCGATGTGCCTTGTAGGATGAAATCCCACTAGCTGACGCCACTCGCAGCTGTGCTGCTTACTGGGCCGCGCTCAGCCTGTCATTCCGCCTAATCTCTATATGTTTATGAACATAATAGCCTGAGGTCCCCAGGTAACTGTGCTGCTCGCTGTACGTCAGCGATCGAAATTTATACGCGTATCACCCGTTAAGATGTGCCACCCGACGTGCCACACAATTTTTCTCGTTGCTCGTCGCACGGCGACGAACAACGAAGCTCGTTGCGACGCGCAATGAGCTGCCAGGCTAGGACATCGTCCTGGTCCAACAAATTTTGGCGAGCGATTTTCTCCAAACATTTAATGAGGGCGCCGACTTCCACTTTGGCTAGGTTTCTTGTTACCCAGCGCGCGTTCCTTAATGGGATGAGGTAAAATTAGATAAAAAGAATCCACTGACTTGGCCAGAGTGCTTTCATAAAACTTTATTACTAATACTAGCTTGGCGTTGTAGGATTATATACTTTAATTTCGGATCGAGTGAAGCGAGCTAGTGATACACATTACTTTGATTAAACTAGACTAGGGCAAGTGTTTACTGTCTAAATCATGCCCCATTCTATTGAGGCAGCTTGAACCCAGGAAACTTTATTCCACTATGACGTTAACAATGTTCATTGTTCATGCATAGTGCATAGTGCATACGGAGTATTTTAAAGTCACCGTTTTTTGTGTGGACGAAATATCAAGGAAGTTATAATAAACATATTTCATATAAAATATAAATTCGATACCTCAAATTATTTGTTATATAGTAGTGTTGAAAGTATAAAATAATATAAAACATCCGCATCCATACTATACAAACTGGTAGATTCGTGTAGTGTTATTGAGTCTCATGATTTGATAGTTCTTTTATTCAAATTTTTGATTGTTTTTGAATAGACTCAGTGAAGACAGATTCTAATGGAAATAAATAGCTGAATAACGTATCGACATTTCTACGTCTTACTCATATTCTAAAATAGTATTAATTCAATTATAACGATCAATATGTACGACGAAATTTATTTCAAACAAAGTAAAATAGTATTTAACGAAATCAGAGTTATATATTAATGCCTTCCGAAATAGCTTTTCATGCCTTCCGAAATAGCTTTTTTCATAGATCTATGCTGAAATGGAATAGTCTACCAGTATGTATCCGGCAGTCAGAGCGGATTTCTACTTTTAAGGCCAAAGTGATCAAGTACCTCTGGGCTGCCGATACAGTCTGGCCAGATTAGCTCATCAGTCTTATGAGTCTCAGAAATTTGTTTTTGTTGGTTACAATTCTGTCCGTCCAATTTCCTATCTGCTTGTCCTTTTCTTTTTTCTTTATCAGTTGTGACGGAATTGTAATGAACAAAATCCTTATAATTATTTATGGGCTCTTACTAATTCGCTCGCCCAAAAATTTCACGTGACTTTTGTTTTTATGGTTTTGCAGCCGTACAAAACGGTTTTACATAAACCCTAATCCCGGGCGAGCGATTTAGTAGGAGCGGCGCAAGGTTTCTCCGTGTATAATATAGTAGTATACAATATGGCCCCGCTGTATCACCTAAAAGTTAGGCACCATTTACCCAATTTCCTTATATGGTAATGTCACATAATCAAAAATAATTTGTCGGCCGGGTGGTGTAGTGGTAACACAATTGCCTCCCAAGCAGAAGACCCAGGTTCGAATCCGGTCGAGAGCCAGTCGATCAGTTACCAAGCTATGATTTGGTATAGCTTCGGCTGGTTATATTCACTCTGTGACTGGTAGGACTAGCCCCTACTTATACTGCTAGTATAGCGCTTACACACAGTGACTTAGGGTTACCGTAGGGGAGATTTTTATCAGTGTAACGGTGAAATTATTATATTATTTAGATATCATAAATAAACTTTATGAGAAATAAGACAAACCGTTTGAAACTTAAAAAATCATACACATTTAAAAATACAATGTCAATCGTCAGCAATTTTCAGTACTTAAGACTTTGTACGATCATGTCACATTTCTTAACGACTGATTTCAATAAGGGAATATTCTCATTTATAAGTTTACAAAGGATTAAGAGATTATCAGTTTTTAGTACAAGATTGAAAATTAATTGTTCTTTGTTTGATAATATAGAATCCAACTGTAATCCACTTGTTTGAAAGTAATTATCTAGCATCACGAAAAAATCAGTCTTCAATTCATAACTTGAAAAAAGATCAAAGCAGTCATCCTCTTGGCAGGCTTGGTTCTTTAAATGTTTCTCAATTGACCGCAGAGTCTTGGTTAGCATATTAGAGCCAGCTTTAAGTCTTGTCATTTTTCGTCTGCGCTTTACACGTGGATGATCATTGCTACTATATGAGGAACTTTCATCGTCTGTACTTTCATTGAGGTCATTGTCTTCATTTATTGATTCATTGTCACTTGAGTAATCCTTTGTAGAATCATCATCTTTATCTTCATCCATGCTATCATCAGTGTCGGTAGGATATTCATCGTCCATACTATCACCTGAATTTTGTATTGCAAGATTGCATAGGGTGTAAAAAACAATATTAAACAGCTTGACAGTGTAACATTATTTTCAGATTTTCATGTTGTTTTTAAAACTTCGAATTTATTGAATTAAATTACCTGTCTTCGATAAGGAGTTCATCTCGTGTTTCTGATCATTCTTGTTTCCAGAGTTGTTTGTTGTAATGGACTCATCATCAGACACATTTTTATTCTCATAGATGTCATTCTTACGATGGAAGCTATATCGATGACTGGCTAGACTGCGTGAACTAGCAAATGTTTTATCGCATAATTCACAGAAATTGCTCATGATGATTCCAATCAAAGTGTCAGAGCAGCAAAATTGATGCGTATGCTAGGGGCACAAAGTGGAAATGATGCTGATTCTATTGTATTTATACACAATTTTGGAAATTTCAATTTTTAGATGTAACTTTTTGCAATCATATAATGAAGCAATATACAGCTGACGCTGCAACATGTAGGAATACTTCCCAGTGGGGAACGCACCAGACAGGAGAAGGGGAATAAAGTCAAATTCTACATCAACTAGTCAGACGGAGAGTATCATTATGTATCATATGTATCATTTTAGTTATCATTATATCATTTCAGCTATCATTATATCATTTTAGATATCATTATATCATTTTAGATATCATTATGTATCATTGTGTATCATTTTAGATATCATTTTAGATATCATTTTAGATATCATTTTAGATATCATTATGTATCATTTTAGATATCATTATGTATCATTATGTATCATTATGTATCATTTTAGATATCATTTTAGATATCATTATGTATCATTATATATCATTATGTATCATTTTAGATATCATTATGTATCATTGTGTATCATTTTAGATATCATTATGTATCATTGTGTATCATTTTAGATATCATTATGTATCATTGTGTATCATTATGTATCATTTTAGATATCATTATGTATCATTATGTATCATTTTAGATATCATTGGGTATCATTTTAGATAACATTGGGTACCATTTCAGATAACATTATGTATCATTATGTATCATTTTAGATATCATTAAGTATTATTGGGTATCATTTTAGATATCATTAAGTATTATTGGGTATCATTTTAGATATCATTATGTATCATTATGTATCATTATCATTTTAGATATCATTATGTATCATTATGTATCATTTTAGATATCATTATGTATCATTGTGTATCATTTTAGATATCATTGGGTATCATTTAAAGATACCATTTTTAGATATCATTTTAGATATCATTATGTATCATTATGTATCATTTTAGATATCATTATGTATCATGATATATCATTATGTATCATTATGTATCATTATGTATCATTATGTATCATTATGTATCATTTTAAATATCATCATGTATCATTGTGTATCATTTTAGATATCATTTTAGATATCATTTAGATATCATTTTAGATATCATTATGTATCATTTTGTATCATTTTGTATCATTTTAGATATCATTGTGTATCATTATGTATCATTTTAGATATCATTATTATCATTATGTATCATTATTTATCATTTTAGATATCATTATGTATCATTATGTATCATTTTAGATATCATTATATATCATTGTGTATCATTTTAGATATAATTATGTATCATTAATCATTATGTATCATTTTAGATATCATTATGTTACATTATGTATCATTTTAGATATCATTTTAGATATCATTTTAGATATCATTATGTATCATTATTCATTATGTATCATTATGTATCATTTTAGATATCATTATGTATCATTGTGTAAAATTATGTATCATTATGTATCATTATGTATCATTATGTATCATTATGTATCATTATGTATCATTATGTATCATTATGTATCTTTATGTATCATTATGTATCATTATGTATCATTTCAGATATCATTGCATGTCATTTAAGGCATCATTATTTAGTTTTTATATCATTATGTATCATATCGTTTTTGAAATTTAAAGAAAAAATTTATTATTACAAATTCTATTGTAATTTATTCATGATTTTTATGGTTCTACTGATTTGATGAGGCGATTATAGGTAATTTGGAATACAATCAAGACACATAAATTCAAAAATGTGACAAATGAAAATTTTTTACAACAATTGGTAATGTTATTAAGATTCAAAAAGTCAGTATCAAAAATATTTGAATTATTCATTACATTTTTCCGTAATCAGACATGAAAAACAAATCAAATCAAATGTTCTAAATCAGAAAATCAATTTTTAAATAGTTGTTTATGTCCATAACTTAATGTACTGATTCCATCGTCTAATATAAACTTTTTGTCGTCGAATCCTGATAGTCCACGCTTTTGCACAACAATACTATAAATTTTATTGCCAAAAGTGCGAATTGTTTGAGACTTTGTTATTGTAGTGCATTGAGTGTTCAAAACTCTTCTATAGTCTTCGTGGCGGATCTTTCTTTGGGCTGTTTTAGAGATCCCTTTTGCAGTCACCGAATGACCGATGGAACAAGATGATGTGCAATCATGAGCTTTTTCACACTTGAACAACAGCTTTTTGGTTACGACCGAGTACATTTTAGGCTTTAATGCAATAACTTCGTTGATTATTTCAGTCGGCTTTTCATCAGAGAACTTCCCTGGAACTTTTTTGTTTGCAGGGTCATGAAATCTTGCCAGCGGTGTACCGTTTAGATAGCCAGACAAATCCATTAGGTTCCGCATTCTGTACAAATCTTCATATCCATCCCTGGTGAAAACACCATAGATGAAGCTGTCGGTATCACTAAGGATAAGTTTGATGTCGTTTCCATATTTTGGTTTGAGAACATCATACCAGAACTCCCCCATGATGTTTTTCGCATTTTCCAATACAATAAATCCACAAGCTATGGGTTTGTTCAGGACTAAATTGCGTTTTACTGATTGTACAACAGTTGTTTGGTCATCCAGCATGTGAAAACCAATGAACTGTGGTTTAGAAGTAAGACGTTTTGCAGATTTTTGATCTTTCACTATCTCAACATTTGTGCGATTTCTGAGACTTTCAATAAACTTTCCGTAAATGGAGTTATTGGCAAGCTTAAAGAAGTCTTTCTCAAAATCCGATTGTGCATTTTGTCTTTTTGTGGAGTTGAATTCAATGTACGGAGTCACAAAATCTGTTTGGTCTGCGGCTAAAACCCGATGAATCTTTTCAACTTCAAGCCCTTTGTTGACGCATAACTGGAGGGTTTTCAGGGAGCATACGAAATGTTTCTTATCTTTCAAATCAGGAACAAGTTTGCGTGAGGCCTTAAACTTTTCACTGTGTAGTTCCAGAAACTTTTTGTTGAAGGGTGATAATTGATGTTCTTCAATCATTTTGCTCTCCACAGCGAGGGGGTAATCATTGTGGTAGTCATGAAGAAACGCTGGATAGTGCAGATCAATTTCCAAAATATAGCATGTTTCCCCTTCTGGGTCTATCTTGGAAGTGTCAAGTAGATCTATTTCATCCCTGTCTAGCCATCTAAAATTCTTATATGGCAACTTGTACGACATTGACTTTCCATAAAGGTTATTTGCATCCACATAATGGATGAACGATGTAGGCTTTGTTGTGTCATGGTCGTCCAAATAAGGGTTGTTGGCTTTGAAATGACGATGGTTAACCGTAGTGACTCCTCCTCGCAGATTCTTCTCAATGAAGGTGTACATGTCAATGTCAGTCATGTACTCGATATTCACATTTGTCATCTTCAGCATCGCATCCCAAGAAAATCCTGGCAAACTCATATAGTGACAACAGTCTAGGCCATAGTAGTCCAAGCAAAGTTTTCTAAAACTCTCAAATACATCACATAATATGAGAGCATCTGTTTTTACATAAATCTCCATGTAATCGAGCAAAGATTGACAGTTCATGGTTTTGTAGACATCTTGAGCTCGAGTGTAGTCAGCATCTGAGATGTCTTCTTCCCTCAGTTTACTGTAAAACGCTTGCTTGGGTGGTAGGTTCTTCTCCGAAAAAACTGAGAAAGATGAAGCATAGTCATAGAAATATACGCCTTTTTCTGACAAAAGTTCGTAGTTTTCTGGGAACTCTTCTTTTAATTGCTTGAACTTTTCGACACCTGACTTTTTCATATTTGATGCCAATCTATCAAGGGAAGTAGAAAGAAATGCAAAGCTGTCCAAGAAAATAAAGTTGTCAGTAAAAACAGCTTTGAACTTTTCAAGTGTCTCAGGGATTACATCCAATCTCTCGACTCGTTTTGTCAAATCTAGTAGGAAGAGGTTGAGATCATATCCTTTTAGGTTATGTGCAAATGCTGGAACTTTTTTAGTTCTGTTGAAATAGTTTATGTTGCAGGAATTGCATGCTGCACCTCTGAAGTTATTCTTTTTCTGCAAGTGGTCATGATCTCGAACTGGGTAATTTTTTTCAGATTCCCAGTTCAATTTTCTGTTACAAATGTGACAGATTGTTGCACTCTTAAACTTCACTTCATCCTCGGGCGTCATATCTATTGAATGTTGGTTCTTTTCATAGCATTTCATCATTTTATCATGTATGTTAGCTAGCTGTGATATGAATTCTTCAGTCACAACATTTGGATTTTCATGGCTAAAAGTGATCACTTCCGAGTTGTATTCCGAAAACTCTGACACAGTAACGATGCAAAAGCTGCAAGGTACATGTTTTTGATACTTTTCTGTGTAGCTCGAGGTATCTTTTTTACTGCAGGTACTGTAAGGTACAGTTAGACATTCAAAATCAAAGTAAACTGTAAACAGTTTTTTGTCTTGCTTATGTAATGCCTTAAACTCAATGACTCCTGGATCCGGCATCTTGACTAACTGATTAATTCCTTGTTTACAGTTTTGGTAGTGAGTCTCATGGTTCTGTGAAGATACAAAACCATGCATACATTTTCGGCAGTAAAACGTCGTGTGATGATGCTTAGTGCGATGTCTCATGAATGCGTTAAAATCTTTGATCAGTAAATAATGAGCAAATCCTTCATTTTCCAAGTAGAGTAGGTCAACTGGTTCGCCAATTTCACTGCCATGTTTTAACGGCAAAACACATTCTTCCTCAACACACCACTGGAAAACAGAAATTGAGACCTTATTCAACTCCTCAACTTTTGCTATATCTTTGATCTTTACTGGGAATTGAACCGTACCCATATTTATCTTCCCGATGTGAGACAGATACTTTGTGTGTCTATCAATATTGAAGCCTGTTGCAGGATAGAGCTTTGCCAAAAGGCAATACAAGAAGCATTTATTGTCTGAGGACTTAATGTTTAGAACTGATCTCATTTTACTTAGCTTCTCCGGAATGGAAACGTTGCCTGAAGCAGAAAGTGGAGAGTATTTTGCAATTTCGATATGTGCCCATTGCAATTCGTCAAAAATCCAACCACTTCCCAATCTTTCGTAGGTGTCAATTCCATGCCGAATATAGCTCTTAGCACGTGACAGAAAGTCATCAACATTGTCTCCTAGTAGTAAGGGTTCACAAATTGACCTGAAAACCTTTTCAGATTGTCCCTCTTCTCCATTGACATGCTTGTGGAATGATAGGGAAATGACTAGCTGTGCTTTAACAGGATGTGACTGTAAAATTTGGATAATCTTTTGCTTAGCTGCAGAGCATGACTCCAAAAGAATTGTATCATAATCTGAACTTTTCGCAATGCTGAGATCAAAGGACTTAAAGTACCCCGAAACTGAACTACAGTGCTCATCATTGTCCAGATGTTCATGAATCCCAGAGAAGCGATTGCATAAAGATTCGTCGATCTGAGAGCGACACAGAAGCTCATGCCTTGCCAATTTGTCCGAGCGAAACAACTTTTTACAGCTGTTGCAGGTTTCTTTGCTGTTGTGTGTCGGAAGATGATGTTTTAGATTATCAGCCCTCATCCTCTTGAAACATACCGGACACTCTTCAACTTGATGTTTGCCATGTTGGCTTTTTGCTGAAAATCTTCTCTTCATTTCTGTTGAGAGCACAGAAAATCAAACGTAACGAAAAATGCAGTTTGAGAAATGAGCTGATGAAGGTCTCACTCCCCTTATATAGCCCACTTCAGAAAAATCAACTATTACTGAAAAGATCAAGTGTAAATCAGGATTTTGTCCTTGACCAGTTCAAAAACAGCAAAGAGAGCAGGTAAAATCAAACGTAACGAAAAGTGCAGTTTGAGAAATGAGCTGATGAAGGTCTCACTCCCCTTATATAGCCGACTTCAGAAAAATCAACTATTACTGAAAAGATCAAGTGTAAATCAGGATTTTGTCCTTGACCGGTTCAAAAACAGCAAAGAGAGCAGGTAAAATCAAACGTAACGAAAAGTGCAGTTTGAGAAATGAGCTGATGAAGGTCTCACTCCCCTTATATAGCCGACTTCAGAAAAATCAACTATTACTGAAAAGATCAAGTGTAAATCAGGATTTTGTACTTGATCACATCAAAATCGCAGGGAGAGCATGTAAAATCAAACGTAACGAAAAGTGCAGTTTGAGTAATGAGCTTACGAAGGTCTCACTCCCCTTATATAGCCCACTTTAGAAAAATCTACTATTACTGAAAGTGTCAAGTGTAAATCAGGATTTTGTACTTGAATCAGAATTTTGTACTATAACAAAATGTATGCAATTGACGAACAATAATTATCCTATAAACAAATTATTAAAAAAAGCTCGCTCAATTACTGACAGTGCTTAACATTTGCAATTGACTTGGTACTAGTTCAAACTACATGCATCTTACATTACTCAGTTAGATTAATGGTCATACTGCAGTGCAAGGCTATTAGATTGTAAGCCGGGTTCGAATTCGCCTATATCTTTATATATTGATCACTGCCTACTACATCTTACATTTCTCAATTTAGTGGGAGTTCCCACATACATTTGGATGGAGAGAACGCTCTCCTAATTCCGGTTTTTCACGGGAGTCAACCCCGAACTGCGATATAGCTGACTCATGGCACTGGAGATAGACTAAGATCTCTCTAACCGAGCCGTCAACATCAGCCTTATCACAGTGAATTTTGATTGCTTTTTTTTGAGTTTTGTAAGAGTGGCTTGACACAGATTTGAACACTGGATGTTCCGATTAACTGTCTGATAATTACAGGTGTACGCCACAGAGGGGCCCAAATTGATTCAATTACAGTGATATTTAAAAACATATATTGCAATGTTATTATGGTGTATCATGTTACCAATGAATTTGGTGCCTTTCCTAATAACAATTATGACGTGTACATTGCACAGTTATGTTTTCACCTACTGTACACTCTTGTAACTGTCATAACCATTAGCAGTTATGTAATAATATCTTGTTGCATAGAGGAATATTGCTGCATCTATTGTTTTAGGCTGAGTTAATTAGTTGAATCTGGTTAGATCGATGGTAGCCAGCGGATTTCATTTAATTTCATCATTACACTGATAAAAATCTCCCCCACCCTAAGTCACTCTATCCTTTGTAAACTTATAAATGAGAATATTCCCTTATTGAAATCAGTCGTTAAGAAATGTGACATGATCGTACAAAGTCTTAAGTACTGAAAATTGCTGACGATTGACATTGTATTTTTAAATGTGTATGATTTTTTAAGTTTCAAACGGTTTGTCTTATTTCTCATAAAGTTTATTTATGATATCTAAATAATATAATAATTTCACCGTTACACTGATAAAAATCTCCCCTACGGTAACCCTAAGTCACTGTGTGTAAGCGCTATACTAGCAGTAGGGGGGGGGGGCTAGTCCTACCAGTCACAGAGTGAATATAACCAGCCGAAGCTGTACCAAATCATAACTTGGTAACTGATCGACTGGCTCCCGACCGGATTCGAACCTGGGTCTTCTGCTTGGGAGGCAATTGTGTTACCACTACACCACCCGGCCGACAAATTATTTTTGATTATGTGACATTACCATATAAGGAAATTGGGTAAATGGTGCCTAACTTTTAGGTGATACAGCGGGGCCATATTGTATACTACTTAATATGTTCTGTTATTAATTTTCCGGTTTCGTATTGTTTTCTAAGTGTTGTATGAAAGTATGAACTCTCTCTACAGTCCAAACAGACCGCAATGAGTGCAATCCCCCCAATAAGCTAACTCACAAAATCATCATTTTCATAGGAATTAGGAATTAGCTTCCCTTAGTGATTGTAGAACGTATATTATAGGACGTGATTTGCATGAAGACTAAACGCTTATGACAACAGCTGCGTGGTACTGATAACACGGGTTGCTCCCAAATTGATTTACACGATAAAGTCCTTAACGTCCTCGGTGCAGGACAAAACCTTGTAACTTGTAGTCACTATAGTCATAGATCATAACTGTTTCAGCGAAACAGGAAATTACACACGTAGATACATTACCATCAATTATTCAAATTTTAAAAATCCGTCGCGTTTACTTTGTTTCCCTCAGACCCCTCTGCAGACCCAAGTAGTATACATAATGGTACTTATACCCCACCTAAAAATGGCGCACCTGTATTTGTGTGTAATTACGTAATTTAACCCTAATTTGTGGTAATTTTTGCTAATCTTAATTGCTAATTGTATACACTAACCCTAATTGGGAGTGTTTACTCCTCATTAACATTTTGCTAATGTGGGGAGATCATACTATTACACTGAGGCTAACCCTAGATAACAATTATATAGTGTACACTTTAACTTGAACACTGCGTATGTTGCATGAGAAAGTATATACAATAGTTATTGTCAGAAGCTTTTAAGCACACCTGTTCATATTATATAAAGGAGCAAGTGCTGGGGGAGCATTTTGCACATCTAATCACAACCTTTATATACTTTCTAATGAAAAAGTCATTTTTTGTAATACGGGAGTATCATGTAAGTGTTAACTTGTGACACACAGAAAGTTTTTTCTTATAACCTTTTAGCTTTCTAATAAGGACTGATGTTGAACTCTGGGGATATTTCTAAGTTGTCAGACCGTGAACTAAGAGAGAAGTTAATACCTAAACCTGGATCTAGTACTGAGACTCCGAGGAAAGTATACAAGGTGCAATTATTTAACCTAAAGCTCGATTTTCTGGATCAGGATTAAGTTGAATACTGACCCATGATTGCATCTGTATGGATACTCAAAGTCACAACACCTGTTGATGTGACAAAAGAATCAGCCAGTTTTGATGAGTTGCACTTGAAATATCTTATCGATCAATTTGACACATCTGACCGAATGAATTATTATTATTGTGTGTCAACAGTATGACATAGTACACAGCATGCAGTATAGGAGAGCAGCAAATTAATCAATCGTGTTAATATGAGTGAACATTATTTTAAATAATGTGTTAAGATCAGTAAAACAGTAAATTTCTCAACCCCCAATAAATCGGCTATATAAGGAACTCATAAACAGGATCATTTCCTAATTAACGCGCTACGATACGCTTCATTGTTTTTTAGAGCTTATTAACTTTTGTGACATCGCGTAAAACAAAACAAA